TTCCGTGCTCTCTATTTTTTAGTTAGTTTTGCTGTTGCTTTCGTCATCTCTGTTGCCATTGTTGCTGTTCTTGTTACTCGATCTGCTTTCTTCTTTGCTGTCCTCACTTTCATCCTCGTTGTCAGTGCTCTCTTCCCCGGGTCCAGAGGGTGGTGTGGGGATGGAGGGTGGTGGTCCTTCAACAGTCTGCCAGTGGGACCTCTGCCAGATGATCTTTGCCACCTCTTTACCATCCTCTCCTACCATCTTTTGGCAATAGGTCTGCAGCTCATTCAGTTCCATGTTTGCACAGTCCTCAACCTAGAGCTTTGTGTGCTGGTACATCAGGAGGTTCCTGGTTTTCCCCAGGGTACTTATGATGCAGGAGACAAACTGGTCAAAGCAGGCTGATGGCAACCTCTGCTGTTTGGTGAGGTGCCTGTACAGTACCACCTCTCTGGTGATGGTCCTGACCCCTGTCACTACCCAGTGGAGCCAGGTGCTAGGGATCCTTATGATCCTTACTTTCCTTCACATGTCTTTGGCACATGGGCAGAACCACAGGAGGTGGTTGATGGTCTCTGCTGTGCCTTGGCAGGTTTCCTTGGGGCAGTTGAGTTGGCTTCTCTGACCCTCTCTGTGCCTCAGGGCCTGCACAAGGAATGCCTGGTGGGCTGCTTGCCAGTTCAAGTCCCTGTGGTCTTTCCATAGGCCCTTGAGAAAAATACACTCCCCAACACCATGGCAGCTATTGCCAGGGAGTGGGTCCACGGTTAACAGTCTCTGTAGCTCTGACCATCCCTGCATCTTCCTGTGGTTGCTCATGGTCACAGGGGCTTCTTTGCACAGGCCATACTTTTCTAGGACCTTGTAGAACCATGGGTGCTCTGTGGTCCACAGTCTCCTGTACTCAGCATTGTCTCGGTAGGTGCCCTGCAAAATACCTGGCAAAACAGACTGTTTTTGATTCTGCACCAGTTGCCAGCTTACAGATCTGGCATGTGGATCTTGCCCAGAAGAACAGAAGGATGTTCCTGTTTGGAAGTGATAACAACAGATTTTTTTTTTTTTTATTAATACATTTCATATTCTAGGTCAAAGCAGCCAGGTCAGTTCCAAGTCAGATCCATTGAGCAGAACTCAATCGTTCTGAAAACTATACTGACTGAGCAAGCAGAACTCTATTGTTCTAAACAGCATATATGGTGCTACAACCAGCGAGCATCCTCTGTCCCAGCCTCTCACCCTGGGACTTCAGCTACTCCCAAATCCATTGGCCGGCATCCTACGTGCAGACTTAAGTCTGGAGGTCTTGGGATTCGGATGTCTGCAGAAACTACAGGCAAGCATCCTCTTCAGATACTGAAAAGATACTATACTTGTACTACCTATATTTTTGTGTGTGTTTTTGGAAAATGTTTCATATTTCATGTCAAATTAGCCAAATCAGTTCCAAATCCTCTCAACTGAGCAACACTCAATCTTTCAAACACCATACATGACACTACAACCAACAAGTATCCTCCACTCCAGACTCTTCAGCCTGGGGCTTCAGGTGTTCCTAAATCCATTGGCAGGCATCCTACATGCAAGCCCAAGCCCAGAGGTTTGGGGTTTGGATGCCCCCGAGTCTCGCTTGCCCTTAACCAAGGGCCACAGGAGCAAGCTAGGGAGAAGTCCCCCATTTCCATAAAGTAGACATGTAGCTGAGATCCTCCCACTGGAAGCTGGCCAGTAGAAAGCTAATTACAAGACTCATAGCGTATGCTGTCTACAGTGCATTGGACAGGGGTGCACCCTCCACTACACAATGTAAATCCAACTTGGTGTCAGTAACAGATTAGTGCAGTGACCACACTTGACCTTAGTCCACAAGAAGCCAAGTAATGATATTGTACTACCTAGATATAGTACAAACTACTTTTTTTTTTTTTTCCAAAAATAAAAGATTTCTCTCTTTCTCTCTCAAACTCCACCTCCGAAACTCTGCCAAGTGGCCCCTGTGGTTCACTTGGCAGCAAAAAGCACACTAGAAACACGTTACACAGTTTGCACCACGTATTTGCACACCCATCTCCATATCTGTACCACCACTCACGGCTCTCCTCAGAGGGCCTGCTTCTGAAAAGGTCTGTGCTGGACCCCTCTCAACCTGATGAAGTCTACCATTTCTTTCCTGTCTTGTCCTCTTCTGTCTTCCTGTAGTACCAGTCCATTTCACTTAGTCCCATTTTAATACAGTCCTTGACTGTGAGCTCTGAGTGTCTGTTTAGGAGCGGGCTCCTGGCTTTCCACATTGCATACCTGAAGCAGGATATGAACTGGTCAAAGCAAGCTGTTAGTCAGGTGCCCATAGAGAACCATTTCCCTGGTCAGGTCTCTGAAACTTGTCACCACCAGGAGAAGCACACGGACTTTCTTCCACACCTCTCTGGCATATGGGCAGTCCCAGAACAGGTGGTCAGTTGTTTCTGCCTACCAGTGGGAAGTCTGTCTTAGGCAATTCAATGAACCTCTCTGCCTGTACTGCTTTTCCATGCCTGTGTGGGCAGTGCCTGATGGGCTGCCTGCCAGTTCAGGTCTCTGTGCTTCTTCTGCAGGTCCTTGTGGAAGATTCAATCCCACACCCCCTGGCAGCTGTCACTAGGTAGTAAGTCTATGGGCAATATGGTGTCTCTCTTCCTTACCACCTCCCATATCCTGTAGTGGTTTACCAGGGTCACTAGGGTAGCACTGTGTAGCTTATATTTCTCTCAAAAGTACTTCAAACTATGCATGATTAGCAAACTATGCTTCAAAACAAAAGGTTCACGGTTCACCACATAGTTCATTGAGCTGGGCCCCAGCAGAGTCAACAGTGTTTCAAGCCATGGTGACCCCACAGCTCAGCACTGCTCAGTATTGTATACTTTAGATACCATCCCCACAAAGGAGCCATGTGCTAATTAGCCCCCCACTCATGACTGGAACCTGGTGTGCTTAACTTGAGTCCTGGGATCCTCCAAAAATGGATGTGTAGATGAGGTATGAGGAACCTGGTCTGGCTTCACTTCATGGAGGGCAGGGCCACATTACTTGTATGCAACAGGCTGAGAAAGTGGGCAACAGAGGGATGAACTGTTTGGAGTCCCATTTGGTGGTTTGCCAGACATTTAAGGCTGGTAAGAAATGGGGATAATTAGAAATTGGGGGGGGCAAAGGTTCACCTCCACTGTGGGAGTGAAGGAAAGTTGAAATGTAGTCAAAATAGTAGGTCATCATGCCCTGAGTAAGAGTTGGTGCTGAGGAGGACTGTGCTGAGTGAGCACTACCATATAACTTATTTAGATGGGCTGCACTATCCAGCCCAGGTGTTTTTCGCTTCTCCTGTGGGCTCAGATTAAGTGTAGTCCTATGCTTGCCTGGCAAGGGAAATACCATGATCGCCACGGTGGCTTCCTAGTAGCACCTGGGGAAGATGGCTATGCTGGCATGGAATAGAATGCACATAGGTAATGCATAATTAACCTTGGCTTTGTGCCCACTTTATGGAAATGGGAGACTCCTCCCTAGCTTGCTCCATGGGGCCTTATGGCTAGGGGCAAGTGAAACTCAGGGGCATCTGAACCCCAAGCCTCCAGACTTGTGTCTGCAAGTAGGATGCCCACCAAAAATTTTGGAAATATCTGAAGCCCCAGATGGGGGTAGAGGATGTTTGCCTGTAGTAGGGCCACTTATGGTTCTGGAATGTCTCTCAGATTTGGAATTGAGTTTGGCTAATTTGACTTGGAATACAGAAAATTTAATTAAAAAATAAGTGGTTTTTGCTTCTCTGGGCTTGGGCCTGCACATAGGGTGCCTGCCAAAAGATGTGGTATCTGAAGCCCCAGGCTGAAAAGTGGAGGATACTTGCTGGTAGTAGGTATGGTTCTTGAACAGTTCAAAGGTTTTGGAACTGATCTAACTGATCTGGCTAATTTGACCTGTTACACGAAAAATTTTCCTAATAAAAAAATTAAAAAATAAGTGTTTTTTGCTTCTCAGTCTCTTGTGAGCCAAGATCAAGTTGGGACATCTGAATCCTAAGATCTCTGGGCTTGGCCCTGCATGTCGGATGCCTTCCAGTGAGAGCCTGGGACATAGGTTGCCCACTGGCTATAGTGCCATACATGGTATTTAGAACGATTGAGTTCTGCCTGCTCAATCTATGGTTTTTGGAATGATTGAGTTCTGCTCTGTCAATATGATCTAGAACTGATTTAGCTGATTTGACCTAGAACACAAAAATATTAATTAAAAAAAAATTCTCATGGCAGGTTCCCATCACCCTAGGGGTGTGGAGAAGAGTAATTGTGCTCCTGCTGATCATGGCATGGATCAAGACCTTGACTAGAGGGTGGTGCTGTTTGGTCACTTGAACAAGCAGCAAGGGACCCTGACAGACTGTTTCAATGAGTTGATCTTCTTCAAGGACATCCACAGCAGAGAGGAGATTAAAAGCTGAGCAACTTAGAGAAGAAAGGGACTTTTAATCAAACTGTTGAAAATATGTTTTGTTTTTTACAACACCATTTAATATCAGTGACTAATGAACACCTAAGAGAAAAGCTGTCTCTGTTTAAAAATATCCCTACCTTCAGTTAAGTTGAGTGAGGTCTTTGGACACCCCAAGAACTGCTCCAACAAATTCAGGGGAGACCAGACTTGACATTATATCTTAGCAATATCAACAGAAACCAAGCAGGAAAAAAGTCCTTTAAGCTGTAATAATAGACAATAGAGATACAATAATATGACAAGATTTTGATTCCAACTGAGGGAAAAGTTCTTGCAGAAGAACAGTAACAGTAAATACAAATGTATCCACTGGAGAATAAAGAAGGATGCTGTATTTTGGTTTCTACAGATCCATATGGACTATGGAAAGCAAGGAAAGCTTAGGAAGTAGGTGCTTGGGTATTATATCTTTTGGCCTCTTGCATCTCTGAGTATATATTCAGTTCTGGGTGGATTTTTAAAATATTTTTTTCCCTTTCTTGCAGGTTTTTTATTATCATGGCTGCTAACAGCCGCCCACTTCAAACTCCTTCCCATCAGGATACGCTAAACTCCATTTACCATGATTCCTTGACTGTCAACAACCATCCTCTGTCTAAGAGCTCCTCCAGTCTAGCATGCATTGGGCAACTGAGTTCTGAAGAAAGACAGAGCAACAAACAAGATCTCAAGAAGAGTCTCAGTAGTACAGTCTGCCAAGTGCTGGCAGGTGAGAATGATGCCAGAAATGCCCTTAGTCCTGAATTGTCTGCCCTGCAATCTGGAGCAGTTGAAAGTGCATCTGCAGCCAGAACAGTGAGTGATCAGTCACCTGCTAACAATGCACAGAATAGAACCCAAACTGCAAATCATTTGCTGGCTGACCAGACCCCACACCCTTGGGAGGGGAAGGATACTGTGATGCATGTCAAAAGTAGCACTATTGAAAATGTTCCTACAGTCTGTGGTGCATGCCAGCAAAGTGCGAATAGAGTAGGAAAACTAGGAATTGCAGTTCAAAGAAGTCATTCCGACCTAGTATGCAGCTGCAAGCAGCAGGGTTCTGTCACAGAACGGTTAGTGGATAACTCATCTTTACAGAGTTCAAGATATGGATTCGGAACATATGAAAATACTTATCAAAACTGTATGGTTCTGATTCCAGCTTTGCATAGAGACCACAAGGTACCCACAAACAACTTTGAAAGTGGTGGTGTTCCACAAAACAGTACAGTTTATACAGATCCTGGAACATTTCACAATACTGGTTTAGGACCACACATGCCTGGGAATGGTTTCACAAACAGGACAATGCATAATGAATCAACTGGGATTATCCAGGGTGGTATAATTTGCAGTAATGTTTCAAGCAGTATGTACTCCCCCATGATAAAGACAATTCACAATAGTACTGCAGTGCCCTGTAACACAAGACATGAGTCTGTCATAAAGGTAGATGCTACTGTTCCTGCTTATTGTCATTCTTTACCAATATCATCTATTCAACTTGTTCCAAGATTGGTATGCTCAATTAGTGAGTCAGGAAAAGAACAGGTAACTCCTGGATTTTGTCATTCATTTTTTACTTCAGAAGCAACAACTTTTCCTAAACTGGTGTCATCAGTTAGTGAATCAGGCCTGGATGCAAAAAGAATTCTGAAATGCTGTCATGTTCCTAGGGAGCAACTGCCAGACACCCAGCACTGCGCTCAAGAGAGCACAACAGAACAGGAGATGCAGGCTGCTTACCTCCTCTTGAATAACCCGCAGTGTGCAGACATGATGAAGACTAAAGACACATGGACTATGACCTCTATGAATGACTTAACCAAAGCACTGAAACCTCTTCTTGAGTGTAAAGATGCAGAAGTGCAAACCATTTCAACAATAGAATACAAATCTGTGGCCACAAGTCCATCTGTTGTGATACAAGACCACCCTCATGTGTTTCCAGAGGTTAATCTTGAACCAGATCTAGAGGATGCAAAATCTCCAGTTCGTGAAGTCAGATGGGATGATGAAGGGATGACATGGGAAGTATATGGGGCAGCTGTGGACCCAGAAGTCCTTGGATTGGCTATTCAAAAGCATCTTGAGATTCAAATAGAACAATTCCAGACAAACACAATACAGCTGTCTAGGAAAGGTACTGAGGAGCCTTCGGATAAGGATCCATCGCATATTACTAAAGGGGAGAAGAAACGGCCATTTAGAACAATGATGCACTCTCTGAGAAATCCAAGCTGTTGTACCCGTTCCAGTACTGCAGTGGAATGAAGATAGCTGCTTGACTGCAGCTTTTATTTCAAATTGTAAAGAAACACTGCCTCTTAAGAATTAACACAAATGGTTGAACTGTCTGCACTACTATAATGAGTTTGGATACTGAGCTGATGTGAAATAGAACTCAGTAAGAAAGAAACCAGAGGAGCTGGGGATGTTGAGTTATGTACATCACCACCTACAAGCTCTTTACTTTTTTATTTAAAACAGCACTGCTCTGTTCTTGTGTACGAGATTTAATAACATTATAAGGAATGATAGACTTTTATTCCTAAATGACTGTTCTTTCTAAGTTCTTATTGTTGTATGTCTATATACACAAACTAGGATTACACAAATAGAATAAAACACTTGAATTCTTTAGTAAAAAATTCTTAACCCTAAGACCTATTGCAATGAAATTGTTATGGGAAATAGTATACTATTTTAAGCTATAATTGAATTGCATTTTAGATGTTATCATAGTGTAAATGCCAATTAGTAATACCTAAAATAGAAAACTAAAGTTTAATTGCCATATAGTTAACGAGTGACAATGATCTGTTAGATGAATAAGAAAAGTAGCTTCAGTCTATAAACTGGATATGTTACAGACCAATGTATAGTTAGAGGGCTACTGCAAGAGGACTACTGCAATAGCACTTACATTAGACTGTAATTATAGTGAATTAAACTTTAAGTATTCAAAAGAATTAGTGCTTACACTGTAACTAAGGCACAAGTATACAGTTACCAAAGGTACCTAATTACTCATGCAATCTGGCATATTTTTTGTATAATTGTATTTTAAACACAGGAAGCAAACTTGTATCTTGGATTATGCTGTCATACTTTGTGTCTATATTACAACTGATATGGAGCTGATTTGGTGTTTCTTACATTAAATGTAGTTGTTTATGAAGTCTGAATGTCCATCTACATTGAATTGTGATTTTTTTTTTTTTTTTAACGGCACAAATGATAGATCTTTTGTCACAGAAATACCTATTTAGCTGTAACCTCTACCTACACCTCATGTCCTATTCTGGGAGAGAAGCATATTCCTAAAGTTTGATCACTTGCCTGTCCATCTTCTCAGTAATGCAACAAGAACTAAAGGAATTTCTTCTAATTAATATATTTGCACATGTGCTCTATGGAATCCCCTATTCCCAAAATATTTCTTAATTCAGATTATAAACCTTTTAATGCCTTATGTACTTCTTACAAGACACAGTTTCCCCCCCAAGTCAGTGTGAAGGGGAAAAAGTCCCTTGCCTTAAATTTGTATAAAAGGAAACCACATCAATACATTATATATTATTAAACTGCTGCCAAAAGTAGCATGTGCTCAGTAATAGAAGCCAACTGTGAGGTTGATTAATTGCAGCCAATACTAAGCATAACTATAATATATATGACCAATATTAGGTAAACATGCTGATGGGAATCTCTCTCTCTATTTTTAAAATTTTTTTTTTAAAGAATTTTGTTGTGTTCCAAGCCAAATCAAGTCCAAATCCATGAGCCACTCCAGAACTATATGTGGCCCTACAATTGGTAAACATCCTCCACTCCCACCAGGGGTTTCAGATTTTTCTAAAGTCTTTTGGCGGGTATCCTACATGCAGGCCCAAGCCCAGAGGCTTGGGGTTCGGATGCCCTCAAGCTTTGCCTGGCCTCGGCCATATGGCTGCATAAGCAAGCTATCCAAGCCAAATCAAGTCCAAATCCATGAGCCACTCCAGAACTATATGTGGCCCTACAATTGGTAAACATCCTCCACTCCCACCAGGGGTTTCAGATTTTTCTAAAGTCTTTTGGCGGGTATCCTACATGCAGGCCCAAGCCCAGAGGCTTGGGGTTCGGATGCCCTCAAGCTTTGCCTGGCCTCGGCCATATGGCTGCATAAGCAAGCTATGGAAGAGCCTCCCATTTCCATAAAATGGGCTTTAAGCCCTAACACCTCAGTGGGTACTAAACCATGCCAGAAAAAACAGTTATCCTGGAAAAGGCTTAAGAAAAACTGCCTTCTTAGACCCAGATACATGGTGTTTCCCCTACCAGGTAAAGGATAAATGAGTACAGCCCATCTGAATAAGATATACAATGGTGCCCACTAAGCACAGTCCCCCTTAGCACCAACTCTTATTCAAGTCATGGTGAGCCACTGCATTTCATATATTTCAACTTCCCTTCATTTCCACAGCGGAGCTGCACCTTTCTTTCCCATTTCCATTGAGTCCTAGTTCTTCACCAGCCTTAAATGTCTGGCAAACTTCACCAAACAGAGGCCTTTTTTGGTCTTTTGGCTAAGATGAAGCAAGGCTGGGGTCATCCAAACCTCAGAGCCTCTGGGGCTTGTACATAGGATCCCTGCCTGGATTTGGGGAGTATCTTAAGTTTCAGACTGATGGGTGTAAGAGGGATCCACTCTGATTTAAAGTGCCCACAGTGTCTCATGCATCAGTATCCATGCACTACAAAATGGTGGTGGGGGTGCTTTAAACCATGGATGGGTGTTAAAGCACTGCCACTTTGAAGAGCGGGGACGCTGGTACGTGAGACATGGAGAGTGCTGGACAATGATGGGACTGCTGGAAAATGCTAATTAGGGGTATGCAAAGCAGACTCTATTCGATTCAGATTTGGATTCAGCCCAAATCAGGGACAGTGATTTAATTCATTGATTCATATCACTGACCCTGATTCGATTCAGCCAAATCTGAATCTGAAGATTCAATGCTGATTCATAGAATCAGCGATTTGGACATAGACACAGTTTTAAATGTTTTTTTACATACCTTGAGATGCCAGTGTGGCTTGTGAATGCTGCAATGTTGGGGTGCATGGAGCATCCCACAGGAGTGTGGAGGGGCCCTCCACATGCCTGACGGTGAACCCAGAAGTGGATCAGAAGTAATTCCAGTCCACTTCCTGGTCCACCAGGGAGCACATTGAGGGGCCCCCCTGCGTACTCCTGACTTGGCGATTGGCCACGGGGGGACCCCTGGTGCCCCCCCAGGCCCAGGAGGCACCAGTCGCCAAGCTGAGGGGTGCGGGGTGGGGGCCACCCTGGCGTGCTCCCCGGTGGACCCAAAAGTGGACTGGAAGTTTCATAGTTTGTAGGGTCGGAAGGGACCTGAGCAGATCTTCAAGTTCGACCCCCTGTCATGGCAGGAAAAAGTACTGGGGTCAAACAACCCCAGCAAGGTGTTCATCTAGCCTCCTCTTAAAGACCCCCAGGGAAGGAGCCACCACTACTTCTTTTGGAAGTTGGTTCCAGATCCTAGCCGCCCTGACAGTGAAGTAGCGCCTCCTGAGATCTAGTCTGAATCTACCTTCTGCCAGCTTGTGACTGTTATTTCTTGTCACTCCTGGGAGTACTCGAGGGAACAGGGACTCCCCCAGTGCCTGCTGGTCCCCTCTGAATAGTTTGTAAATGGCTACTAGATCCCCCCCTCAGCCTTCTCTTGTGGAGGCTGAACAGGTTCAGGTCCCTTAGCCTCTCCTCGTAGGGCCTGATCTGCTGCCCCCTGATCATGCGAGTGGCCCTCTGGACCCTCTCCATGTTGTCCACATCCCTCCTGAAGTGCAGCGCCCAGAATTGGACGCAGTACCCCAACTGCGGTCTGACCAGTGTCGCATAGAGGGGGAGGATCACCTCCTTGGACCTGCTTGTGATGCACCTGTGGATGCATGACAAGGTACAGTTGGCCTTCCTGACTGCATCCCCACACTGTCAGCCCATGTTCATTTTGGCATCAATAATGACACCAAGATCATTTTCTGCCTCTCCACTGACAAGAAGGGAGTTCCCCAGCCTGTAGGTATGCTGCTGATTCTTCCTCCCCAGGTGCGGTACCTCGCACTTGTCAGTGTTGAAACCCATCTTGTTTTGCTAAGTGCTTCTGGTCCACTTCCAGGTCCGCTGCCAAGCGTGCTGGGGACCACCCCCCCCACACACTTCTGTGGGACAATCCATGTGCCCCAGCGTCACAGCATTCACGAGCTGCCTGCTACCTAGAAGTATGTAGAAAAAACATTTAAAGCTGTCTCTATGTCCGAATCTCCGAATCTTTCCGAATCGATTCAGAGGGTTCCAATTTGATTCGTAGAAATTAAAGGGTCTCCTGATTCGTGTCAGATTTGGAGATTCGGCCACCAAATTGGGCCAAATCTCTGCTGAATCAAATCGGGGACTGAAGCTTTGCACAGCCCTAATGCTAATTAGCAAGTTCCAGCAGACTTGAATCAAGTCTGCTCTGCTCCAATGGCCAGTAATTACAGTGTGTTAGAGCAGCCTCTCTTCATGTCCACAGGCACCCATTATTCCTGATATCCTGGTGCCCTATGATGCTTCAGTGGAAGGCAGGAATTTTACCTGCCTAGAGGTTGTACAGTATTATAGTGGAAGCTTCCTTTGTGACCTTAATGATGATGAATCTGTGCCTCCAAGCACATGGTTCAATACTAGAAGGAGGTGTTACTGCTAAGAAAAAGAAAACATCCCTTTTGAATTTGATATTTGATCCTGACTTTCTTTGGTAATGAACTGAACAGACTGACCATTTTCTATTTGATTATTTTATTAAAATCCCTGGTGCCCTTCAGGCATTAAAAAAATCAATGTCTTAATGTTCCAAAATAGGAAGACCAAAACTAATGCACAGTCTAGACCATAAAATTAGCTTATTTGAAGTGCTGTTGTGCTAAGTGCATCATTTTAATATTTGAGTTAAATTATTAACCCTGGGCAAAAGCCTAAGCAGACTATTTTCAGGAAATGTGATTCATCAATGTCAGCTACAGCTTGAAGCCTCAGGTTTCTAGCAGCTGCCTCAGCCTTCTGCATTCTCACACCATAAAGGTTTTAATGAATGGATGCACATAGTGTATGGTTTTGCTAATCTCACCGGTGACCTTATCCACTCTGAAGTTGCCTTGCATCTGATTACCCCACAGAGAGCCTCTTTGGAGTTAAGCTCTTCCAGTTCAATAACTCTTTTCCTACTTAATTTTCTTTTTCTACCGCAGAGTCTGTGGTTTCACGTCATTTTGGACTTTTCTACTCTTATAGATAAATCTGCTTTAGATATAATATTTATGCAACAAAACTGGATTAATGGAATGCATGTGTTTCACTTCCTTCTGTACATCTTTAGTGTGCAAAGTATCACCAGCTGTGTGTTCTTACTTGCATGTACTGAGTATGTAAAAGAAAGTAATGTTTTCTACTACGCAGAATATTACAACATTGGTGATGAACTTGTACGTTACTCTTTCACTTATTTCCAGAGACTGCAGGTGTTGTTAGGTCTAAAGCATGGGGGTAATCTGTGGCATAGGTGCCAGAAGTAGCTCAGGCAGTCTCTGTGCATGGCACATAGCAGATTAGTGAGGGGACAGGCAGCATAGCAACAGATAGGACAGGAATTAGCAAAACAGCAATCCAGGCAGGGAGCACAGGGCTGATAACAGAAAGCAGGGCAGCAGATTGGGCAGAGAAAGGATTCAGAATAGCAGGGTGGGGGGCTAATTTGTGGCATACTTGCCAAAAAAGTTGTCCTTCCATTTGTCTACAGTGCCATTCTTTTACATAAAAACAAGAACACCTCTGTCTTCATGCAAATCATCAGTTCCTATCTTCCACTCTTCATTCATACAAAATTTCCATTAAGTCAATGGAACTTCTGCCTGTAGGGTATAGCCTAATGCTATGTAGGCTCATCTACATGTGCTATGAATGTACTGTAAGCTTACCGCACAGTATGCTTTACCTGGCAGGGCATCTATACATGTGCCCATCAGGAGCATTTCAGGGAGCAGTTCAGTGCAGGGCTACTTTAGCCCTGCAGTGCCCCACTACAGCAACCAAGGGGAGCTCCAGGCTCCCCCAGGTGCCAGCTCTG